TATTGCACTGAAGATGTTGTCCAAAAGGACGACGAAAGCTCCGCAACCAAACCAACCAGCTCAGAGAACACTATTAATTGCATATTTCTCATTCTGTCACACCTATAGGCTTATTTTTATACGTTAATTGTACGTCTTACCTTTTTTTGAATGTGACAGTCAGTCACTGGGACACAGTACTAGAAATTTCAGTGTCTTTTACTGCTTTGTTCGAATTCTAGATCACCTAATCTGAAGTCCACTACTTCAGTTGCCTCACATATCCGTATCTCATGTATGCTTGATAGTGAACCTATTGTTCACTACTGTTCACTTCTGACTTACGCAGAATAGCTTGAAAACCCCCTCCAAGTGAATTAACTTTTCGCAGACACTTTACATTTCCTGATGACCGATGGCTTTCATACAGTGTATTAAATCATCAAGATGTCGGCATTTCCATTCAAAGAAGTTATGGTTCTTGTGAATGCCTTCAGTCATTTGAGTTGGTTGCTAAATTATTCTTCGCACAGGAGAAACCAGTGGCTTGTCTTGTGAATACAGTTCAAGAAGATGTAAAAAACAGTGCCTATGATTATTGTTGGAAGACAAGGACCAAAATACATTTGCCACTCTTTCAGGAGTTGGTCGGCATATTCGTAATTAAGGGTATAAACCTGGTGGACATGACAGAAGTGACGTGTGGAACCATAGTGTAGCTCAATGTTCCAGATAACTTTCTTCTTCAAATGTAGTTTGTGGCGTTTGTGGTAACTTCCTTGCATCGTTAGCATGTGTGTGAACAAGCAAATGGTCAGGTTCTTCTAGACATACAAACACACACTCCAGAACAGTTGGATAAACCTTTCATGTAACAGCTGTTCACCATCAGTGGTTAGTACATGAACTGTCTGTCTGTTTACCAACAGGTTAGTGTAAGAATTCTGCATACACGTACGTTGCCGCATACTAAAGGTTGGTAAACTTCGTTACACCAAAGATTGCAGATCAGTATCATACATTGCACAGAAGCACTCGTTTTATACTTTTTGCAATATCATGAGTAAACTGAACGAGCATTCATTATACTGTATGAGAGAAACGAACAGTGTGTTGAATTTCTGTAAAGTCTGAACAATTTGATGTACTTGAGAGAGGTTCAATCAACGACTAGATAGAACAGGGATATCACCAGTATTTCAACCGATAGTTATTTGGTTCAAATACACCTGACATGATGTTGGAGAACGCGTAAAACAGCAAACATACGCCACTGTCAGCATGACCTATGATTTCCTGCTATGCTGTTACTTAAAACAGGATGCTATATGAAGCTCTTCTGTGGGGAAATACTTCGAAATATTTAAAACAGCTGACTAATCAAACCTCCCACCTCTTCCCGTGTAGATACTCGTCAAATTGTCCACATATATGTGTATTTGTGTCCGAAATCCGGTTGATCCATAACCCTATGTATTTGAATGGTCTGACAGCAAGTCTGTCACCTGATTTCATGTTCATTTACTGAGGCTAGATTATGGTTTTAGTAGGAATTCAACTCATTACTCAGGTGTTGCACAAACTGAGATCTCTTATCAAATAAACAGTCAATCAGGTAACGCGTTATTTTATGTATCCTAGAAACAGGATTAAGTTGCCTGAAGGCTTTAGTAGGAAATTCAAGTTGAGAGTGACTGGATGGCGGTCGAACTTCATATTGGCAAATTGACAGAAGTTATAATCAATGGGTAGTTAGATTTCGTCTCAATGATTCAATAGTACACAAACTCGCCTCCTTACCTGAGGGTCCTGAATCCGATTCTTAGCTGGTTTTTCTTGACGGTTACTGTTGAGGAGTCCCAGACAAGAATGAAACAGCCCTCGAGTACTCTCTGGTTTTCAGAGTGACGTAAGTTTGTATTAAATCTTTTGTTCTAAAAACAGTTGCAAAATTCCCAAGTCAAACCGTCTGTATTTTATCACCTTAATGATGACGTCAGTGGTGAAATCAAAACCTTGCAAATTAAACAGAATTGGTAGAAGTTAGAATTCATGGGCCATTGGATCGCGTCCCAGTGGCTCAATGGTCTACGAGCTCGCCTTTTAACAGGATGGTCCTGGGTTCAAACCCCAGTGGGTAGGTACTGATGATGAGTCCCAAACTAGGACGAAACAGCTGTCCAGTACTCCCAGGTTTTCCAATGGTTCTCTAAATGATGTCAACTCATGATGAAATCCTGTAGCTAAACACTTCAAAGTAGAATTCCACTGTGAATGCCCTCGTAAGTGCTAAGCGTGCATACGAGAATATGTAAGCCCCTTGATACCTCTGAACAGTTGCTTTTTAGGTTAATACGAATAAGTGGTGTTCTACGAATTACTCTAGTATTGCAATACTTGCCATACAGGTAAGTGACTGGAATTACCGAATCCAATATTCTATAAATTGAATACCATATAGTTGACAAAGACTTTAATATTTAGCAGTTGGAGGCGATCAACACTCAGTCTTGGCACTCGTCAGTGAGCCATTTCCACGAATCTGTATAGAATTGATATCATCTCGGAGAAATGAGAACTCACCTCATCCAGTGCTGCAGTCAGAGAAGATATTACGGAGATATTCGACATCACTGATCGTCAAATTTGTAAAGCATGTGTGCACTTTAACTCAGTGAAGAATGCCATGAGTGGTTGGACGAATATAGGTCAAGGTTGTGACAAGAGTTAAAAAATTGACACTAGAAGACCCTAATCGATTAAATATTCTTCGCACACCTTCTAGCTTGACCTTGGATGCTTAATGCATCCATTACACGCTTTCCTCCTCTTCTTCTTCTGGCAATCTGCAGCATTATACTGTTTGATTTCAGCTGACTTGTACTCCCTCTTACTGTCATCTAGTTGATGCATTGACGTCGTGACACAAGAGAATCTGTACTGCAACACACAAAGAGGGAGGTGGGATCCCCTAGCCCTGAAAACTAGCACAGTGTTGTTGCATCCAGTACGCGTGAGATCTAAGCAGAATAAGATAAATTCACATATAAACCTTCAACGTTTATTCTTCATATATTTTTGGCCTATGTCAGTGAACTGCAGTAGTGTATACATATATATATATATATATATATTCTTTTATTCTTATCGTTATACACTGTTCTCTTGCTCTTTCCACATTCACTTTCATTTTCCAAAAATAAACTGCGGTTAACGTTTATGATTAACAGTATAAGTAAGCCAACGACGGCATTCTGAGAAATAGGAAATTTGCAATTACAATCCGTATTTGTAACCATCACTTTCTAAGTGGATGTGGTGTTCCATTTTCACAAAACGTCTTGTTTTCCACGTTTATAAGCACAAGGAAAGTGGAATAAAAAGAAGTCGAAACACTTATGCTTTTGCTCTGCGTTGTTTATAACCATGTATTGGGTGTCAAGCCGAGCATCATGTGGACACTGTGAATCAATGAAAATCGATCGTTATGCACATATCATCAACTTATTATTGCTTCCAGAGGGTAAAAAAATGTGCATCACACACAACTTTGGAAGTTGAAAAAACAGATGCGAGTCGTCGTTACACAACTTGTGCAGTACGAAACCACAGAAGCGAACAAATCATAACTGTTAACTGAAGTCCTAAGAGAACTGTCGAACACTGTGTATTCTTCGCATAGACATAGTTCTTCAACTCACACCAGTGCTATGCAATGAGGCTGACGGAATTTTTAAATATTCCACAAGTTGAAGTTCCCCTACTATACATAAAACTGATAAACTTCAAACGATGAGAGGATATGAAATCTAAGCAAATGTATCACGCACATGCAGATGTTTTCATTTTTCCCAATGCAACTGAGACAGGTTGAAGTGCTTTCATAGGTAGCTAAAAGGTATTTTCATCCAAAAATGAACAACAAATCTGTGCAGTTACATCTGTTGTCATATTTATATTTTTGAAGTGGTCCGACTAGAAGGGATGTGCTTGAATGCCTTTCACCCTAACAACTAATAACCTGCAAATGGGTCAGTTTTTCAGTAAAAGTATGTGTCATCTAAAGCTATTGGGCATACTTCACCATCCCCTGTGGAAAAAAAGAAAACAACTGAGAGACTTGATAGCAGTTGCATAATCTGAAGAACACCCTCATCCTACAAACCACTACCAGTGCACGCCCCCCTCATGAGTTGGTCCCCTGAACAACAAAATGAACACAAAATGATATTTATCCATATTTTTATATAAAGTTAGACAGTAGATACATATATATATATATATATATATATATATATATATGCAGGCCTGCAAGTTGCATACACAATATACATGCATTATTATTATTATCATTATAGACGTGTACAAAATGAAAATTTGAGCAAACTTGACTAACTCTGTTTCTAAATTAATTTGTAATTCTATCAATAATTGTATCATTATTATTACGGTTTTTAATAATAATAATAATGTTATTTTTCCTTAAATATACTCTAAGATAATAATGAGAGGCATAAGGAAGGGTTAAGAATGGAGGAATGGATAGATGGTTCGATCGTTGGTTGGTTGGTTGGTTGGTTGGTTGATAGATGAAAAGGTAGGAAAATGGATGGGTAGGCGGGTAGGTAGGTAGGTAGTTAGGTAAGTAGGATAGACAGGGAGATGAATCAAATTCAAATTTTGCAATAAAAAGAAGACAATTACAAATATGGACAGCTTATGTATAATATATAAATGAGCATATATATATATATATAAATTTATACGTTAGTATATTTATTCATACAATCATCAAAATAAAGCTCATAGAATTAGCTACACTATACCAACACCCATATTAACAATAATAATAGTAGTAATAGTAATAATAATAATAGGAATAACAACCCTGATCGTTTTTTTTCTCCTTAAACAAAATATTTAATTCAAACTTTTTGTTTAGTGAAAATTGTTTTTATACGAAAAACGTTTTTTTTATATATATGTATATATTTAGATTGTTCTCTACGACTCAAATTTATTTATTTTTTCTGTTGCTGTTGATCTTGCTGCATAGGCTGTTGATCCTTCTGTTGTTGAGGCTTATTATTATTATTACTTTGTTGGTATTGTTGACCCAAGCGATGGTTACGATTCACTGTATCATCTTCATCGTCTTCATGAACACCTTCAATCTGTTCAGGCAACCGGATTGTGATTGGTGGGAAACTTATATTCTCCGGAATACTAGGCTCTTGAAGGGTGCTAAGAATAGCCGCAGAACTGACAGCTGCTAAGGCCTACAAACAAACACACACACAACGGAAGCGAAAAGAGTAGGTGAGAAATAAATTTTATTTGAAAATAAAAACAACTTGAAAGAAAGTAATAGCACCATGTTTTTGATAAAATTAGTAATATATATTGTATCTTGTAGTGGTAAATATTTCCCTAAAATTACCAACCCATTTTTTTGTTACTTGAGTTCCAAATGGGACATAAGGCTTCCAGCCAGAGATTTAAGGTTTCGATAGCAGTGGCGTTATTTTTACGGGGTGGGGTTGCCAGCCTCCCATCCAACCCACCCTCATCACCGAACATTCTACTGACAAAACGTCAGCCGGGATTTGAACTCCAGGTCACATTTGTGGTTGGCCAGTGTTCTACCAGCAAAACACTGATACACACATAGAGAATATATTTCCTCATCGTGCATCACTGACAGCCTGCTTTCACGTAATTTGAAGGAGGGGGGATAGTGATTCTGATACATTCGAGAGTTGGTGCACTATCCCCCTTAGTTGTCTAACAATTTATCACTGTTCGACAGTACCGATCCTAGATATATGCCTCATTTTTGGAACGACCCAAATGTTATTTGATTTTGGCTTACTTATTATTCTATGATCGAGTCAGTGGTTTCTTCGGAAGTCTCTCTTACTAAAGTTCGTTTACCGACAGCACAAGTATACACAGTTCTCCTAGGCTTTCACAGCTATGTATAGCTTCATCAACCGGATATTATCATCCGTACAAAAAAAGAACAAGTGAAAAGTTAATTATTAAATTATATAACAAAGTTGTCACAGAACGAGAAAAAAAAGTCTCTCTTTTTTCTCTCTCCCAGTTCACTTATATATTGAGGGAACAGATAAACATAACAGTCACATTAGTTCACACTGTATTTAATTGAAGTGAGATAAAGGTGCCTTGTTAACTGGCCACTGGTGTACGCATGTTATGCGTGTGAAAATTGGACACTTTCGTAGTATTTGATTGCATACTAATTTGTTTATTAGATATCATACACACACACAGGCAAACATACAGACAAACAGACAGACAGAGTGTAACAAGTGTTACATACTAGATACATTACCACTATTTCACAGTGTGATATACACTGTGCAATAAACAAAATTAATTAGTATGTAGGGCAACAACCTAATCTGTAATGAAATTCAAAAAGTATTATTATTATTTCCTTTAGTTCCTAGAGGAACATAGGGCTTCAGCCGTGCGTCTCCATTGCGTTCGGTTCTCTGCTGTAGTTTTCACCTGGCTCCAAGTCTGCCCATACGCTTTCAATTCTTCTTCACATGATCTCCTCCAGGTCACCCTTGGACGACCAACTCGTCGCTTCCCTTTCGAGTTCCACTCGAGCAATGGCTTGTCTAGTGATGTCACTTGATGGTTTCCTCAGAGTGTGACCAATCCATCTCCATTTCTTCCTGCCTATTTGTTGCACAATCGATTCCTGGTTGGTTCGCTCCCAGAGATCTTTGTTGCTGATCCTTTCCGGCCATCTGATCTTGAGTATTGAGCGAAGACATCTGTTAATGAAGGTCTGTAGCTTGTTTGAGGTGCTCTTTGTGACACGCCAAGTCTCTGATCCGTATAGTAGCACTGACTGACTTCACATTGGAGTTGAAAATCCCGATCTTATTTTTGACGCTGAATGCTGTTGACCTCCACACAGACTTGCGAGTAATGAAAGCTTGCCTTGCTTTCAAAAAGTAAAGCCATATAAATGGAAAGAGCTTCACAAAGCGCTCACTACTGGCCAGCTATGAATTATTTCTGAACAACATAGTATCTTTATTCTTTGGTTAAAAACTAGGTAGTAAGTGATTCATGGTATGCGTCTAGTCCTTTGTTAGATGCAGACTGAATGCTGTCAGTCAAGTTCGCAAAGTGGCCATCAATGTCAGGTGGCTCTCTCTATCACGATGCGCTCTGAAATGATCTCATTATTTAGTTGTCAGCACTCACCAGTCAGAAAGGTGTATATCTGCAACCCTGAAAGAACTCATGTCCCTCCTGAGATTCAAATGTGTTTCAACCTAGTGTTGCATTCAGAGATTCTGTCATTCAGCTGTAGGGAATCCCGACTGACCTCCTCTGTAAGGGTGTTAAGTACTTCGATTGAACACAAGTTAATAACTAGTTTTATGTGTCTATAAAATACAGAATAATCGAGCAAAGAATATCCTCTCCGATAATTTCCTCTTCTGGCTCTACAATTATATATGCATGTTTATATACATAGAATATTCTAGATTTTTTTTATTATAGCTTGAAACCGCACAGTATTTTTGGTACAAGTATGGAATTTCCAGCATGTGATATCGGTAGCCCAAATTTTGCAGGCCGACCATAGATATCAGGTGTGCGCCGGTAGGGGGTCGAACCCCTGACCATGTGCATGGTCGGCGAGCGTCCTAACCGGTATACCACCGACGCACAGATTAGTAGTAAATAACAATATTAGTGTTATTAAAAAAATAATATCGATTTGTAAAGTAAGATTATGATGGAATTACAGTTTATTAAAGATGCTGAAATTTTAATAATAATAATAAAGATATAGTAGCAAGTAGAATATCAACTAAATTTAGGAAAATTCCACAAAAATTCAGGATCATTTTCCTTGCGAAACTAAAAAATAGGCCTTTGAAGGATGTTATTAATGAACTCGAATTCTATTGCCGATGCATGGATGATACATTTTTGATTATGAAAACTGAGAAGGAGGCAAAGAACATCCTGGATAAATTTAACGAGGTTCATCCTGCGGTAAAATTTTACTACTGAGAAAGAAAAAGACTCTAGCATTTCATTTCTAGACGTCCTTATGACCAGAAAAGAGGATGGCACAACAAGAAGAAGTGTATGCAGAAAACCTACATCAACGGGTCAGTATACTCATTTTCTCAGCTTCATGCCTTTGAAATACAAACGCAATCTGATAAAGTGCTTGATTCACAGTGCAAGAGCAATTTGCTCGGATGAATGTCTTGATGAGGAACTTAATAATATTAAACGGTTGCTAAGTGGAAATCGTTATCCAGAAAAGTTTATTGATAAGAATATGAATCTAAAATCAAAGCAGCCCAAGGTACCAACAGTTCCGGAAAAGGCCTTATTCATACAAATGCAGTTCCTTGGGGACAACATCAGTGAGATACTAACACAACGCCTTAAAAATGCGGTATAAAGAGCATTCCCTGCTGCTGAATTGCGCTGTGTCTTCGAAACCACCCTTATTTTGCGTTCGAGAGTAAAAGACAAACTGCTCCTGTGGAGACAGTTACATAAGCCGTACAATTAGGCATCTTTCTCGTCGGATTTACGAACATCACCCTGTGTGGTTTAGTAAAGGATAAACAAAATCTATTTGCAGCGCTATTCTATCTCATCTTGTGGATACAGAACACAAGATTGATGTTAACCAGGCTTTCAGGGTCATTTATCGCATACCTATGAATCTCAATTTTGTCTTAAGAATTAGACTACTAAATATTGCTGAGGCTGTGGGGATCCATATTAACAAGCCTAATTTTTGCGTCCAAAAGAAGCTAGTTCATACATTATCCTTAGCTTGACCATCTATGTTTGAGTGATCTTGAATTTTTGTGGAATTTCCCTAATATTAGTTGATGTTCTATTTGCTATTATATCTTTATTATTATTATTATTTAAGCATCTTTAATGAACTATAATTGCATTGATCCTACTTTACAAATGGATATTATTTTTAAAAAACACTAATATTGTTATTGACTACTAATCTAGAATATTCTATTTATATAAACATGCGTATATAATTGTAGAGCCAGAAGAGGAAATTATCGAAGGGGATATTCTTTGCTCAATTATTTTGTGTTTTATAGATGTCTGGATATTATCAGTCAAGTCTCTAATGTGGTCACCATGCTAGATAGCTAGCCATCACAGTGGACTCTGAATAGTTGATATCAGATAAGTTCGAATCTCAGGAGGGACATGAGTTCCTTCAAGGGTTGCGGATACGCCTTTTTTACTGGTGAATGACAACAAGCACGAAACCTAGGTGAGGTAGGGCTTCCTGCTGACTACTTCCAGCCATCTGATAGCGACAGTAGTATCATTATTCCGATCAGTATTTTTCTCCTACTTGTTGACAGCCAGTGGCCTCTGGCTGACTAGTCCATACTGAACTTTGTACTACTTAAGGGCATCACTTTGCATTGTTAACATTTCTAAAAAGCGCATTCTAGTAGTTGGCTGATTCGTCAGTAGAAATGAACAAAATAACCCCTCTAACAGAAATGGGGTTTTGACAGTTACTCAGACGTGACTACAGGGTACCGATGAGACTGAAGGGCAACAATATAAATGACTTCAGTGATAGATCATAGCTAGTTGTGAATATTTACTTCAGTATCCTCTGGAAAGACAAAATTATCAGATCACAACATATGTGACTGGCTTGACACGGTAACTCGCATCCAAGAAAGCAAGCGAAGACACAATATGGCAGATACTAACGATTGACCCATGTAGCCATGATCCACTCACATTTAAGCGATCTAAATATACCTGAGTAGTCTGTAATTCATTGATCTCAGAAAGGCGAATCAGCTGACCCAACTGGTTCTGATTTGAATACATTCACAGAATATGAATCCAGAGTTATTGTTTCTACTAGGGTTGATACAGTCCTCTTTGATGGCCTACTTCTGTGACATTGGAGGCTGACACATGAGGTTAAAGAGTTTATCAAGAGATTATCTGAGCACTCCACCTTCTACAAGCCCCTAGATTTGAAAGCATTCCGGGCAGAATATAATAAATATAGTTTACAGTATTAAACAAAAAGATTGAATTGATTTTTTTGACCACATTTCAATAAGACCACCACACAACTTACTGTTTGACTAGCTGTCAAAACTGCAGCAGGATCTAGTGGACCGAAGTCAGTGCTACTGGCAACTCGTTTCACAATCTCCTTGGTATGAGCTTGAGTTAGTTTTTCGGCAACTTTTAATTTACTCTGGAAAAACTTCGTGTCATCAACTACACCAGCTGCAGCCAGATCACTGATCATTGAACCGCCTAGACCAAAGTTGACTTGCATTTGACTGCCGGACATTGCTTGAGCCAGTGCATTAGCATTAGCATTACCACCGACATCATTAATCCGTGAACGATGCAGTGATTCACTTGACTTTATCATAGAGATGAACTCTGTTCGGTGTTCTTTTTCAGCTGGTCCCCATTCATGAACAGGCTTCAAAAACTCCTTCATCAACTATGATGATGATAACAACAAAATAGGTTGGTTTTTTTCGTTAAGTTAAATAGAAATAATCATCAAGTGGGTAAACTAACCTTACATCAAACGATAAACATAGAATAATGAATTTTACTAATATCTAATATCAGGCATACTCTAATAACCTGGTATATATCATTTCTATCGTTTAAATCCAGCACCTAAGTACTCCTAAACAACCTATTCCTTTATTAATCAAGTATAACGAATGTAGCACGTTTGGTGTTCGACACTCATTTCGCTTCACACACTGTGTGTGAATGCAGGTTTGACTTTAATTAAAGCCCAAGTAAGACGACTTTTGCATATTTCAAAAATACCATATATATAGTTCAAACCTAAATTAATTATCACTAGTGTTTTAAATATAGGTGTTGTTTTTTTCTTAACGAATCAATGAAATATGAATGCCGATTGGAAAACCTGACAGATCACAAATGAAAGTATTTTTTCCCATTTCTCCGTCTATATGAATTACAACGAATGTGTCATCAGGTGAGTTAGATTTTTCCATGCCTACTCTCCATGTTTATCTAGATCTAGAGTTTTCTAGGACCCTTCCGGATTCACTGAGAACTTGCCGACATACACGCACAGAAATACACATATAAACAAACATTTTCAATCTCATCTATCGACTATTGGCATTCTCACCATGTTGCATTTCGTGAGGTCCATGTATCTCCACACAGAGCATGTCACACTGTCCTTGTGATTCTCATCATCGGCAATGTTGGCAGTCAACTGACTCATGCGTGTGCAAGGAACTGAAGGCCATGCAGGCGTTCATGATTCAACATCATAACACATGAAACACTGAATAACTACCATACTTGTCATTCAGACTGAAAATCTCACTCATCTATCTGTTTTATTTCGGAAACGAGAGGTTAATTTTACTTTTTTTTGTTGAGAATAGACAGACGTGCAAAAAAGAGGAGAAATGAAAACTGAAGTTTCACTCACAACAAAACCACCCTCTTTACAATATTTATATAAAAACCAGACGACAATTGTTACTACAGGGATAGCTGCCAATATATGACGAAAGATTAAAGCCCACTGGGGATAGGTGTAATTGCCTTCTTTGAATTCTTTTGAGTAGATAAAAATGCATACAATTAGCATAAAGCAGATCAGTGGAGTAAAGAATAGCCAACATATACGCCAATACCAATTCGGTCGTTCGTCAATCATCAATTCAATATCACGTCGAAACTGTTTTAAACCTGAGAATGTGAAAAGACAAAGAAAGATACATATATATGGTCAGATCAGCGTGTAAGTATCTAGTGGGGGAAAATTGTAGAGAGAGCAATACAGAATAGAAAAAAGACGCTATCCAGTGCAGATTTTGTCACTACACACAGCTCACTGGTCTTAGTATGGATGTGTGTACCGGAGACACCACTGGAGATTGAAGTCAAGACCTGGTTACAACGTGACCACAATGAATATTCGGCCTCTGGCCTGAAGTCCATCGATGCGTGAGTTTCAAGTTTTCGTGAACTAATATCTTTGATGAACATCCACTTCATACCTAACCTGGTGGTCACTTTATGATGACATCTGCACTAGCATCAATTAAAATTCGAATAAACGTGGGACATTTGTTTAAGAACTTTTTCTTAAAACCACTTGTCAATAATTGTTTACCAACAAAAACATCGAAACATACGGAAGAACACGGAGTTTTGTAGAAAGTTGATAAATGGTAAATGGGAACACAATTGAAGCCTGAGAATAATAAATAAATTGTTTAAACAACGAAGTCTTCTAGTTGAAGAATGCTGTTAGTCAATGACTAGTGTCGCGTTGACATGCTTCAGATTGAGGAAGCGCTATTAACTACTTTATATATTTTTTTCTCTCGATGTTGAAAATATTCCTTAACTGCTAAGCAAATATACATAAAAATGTGGATGCGATAGGCCGGATAAGAGGATTGATTGTCTGAATCTGAAAGTGGTTGAATATTTATTTGCATAGAGGATTTCATCATGAGCTGATATCAGTTAGAGAACCACTGGAAAACCTGCAGGGAGTACTGGACATCTGTTTCGTCCTAGTTTGGGACTCTTCACAGTACACACCCACCGAGTCCCAAACTTGGACGAAACAGCTGTCCAGTACTCCCTGCAGGTTTTCCACTGGTTCTCTAACTGATGTCAGCTCATGATGAAATCCTCCATGCAATCAAACAAAATCCCCACAAAACTAATACTTGAATCTTTATTTATCATAATCCTATCATTGTGACTACTAGTTATCCTTCATCATAAAAGTTAACTCAAACTGGGCATAAGCAACTTCACTTATTCAATAATTATCAATTAAAGGTGAAGCGTCCCATACTTGTAACTTCAAGGTGGCACAGCGGTAGAATGCTCGCCAGCCACGCATGTGGTCCGGGGTCCGAACCCCAGCAGTCGCACTCTTTTACCTCTCTCAGTCAGTAATAAGACTGGTAAAGAGGGAAGTTTGGGCATGAGGCTAGCAACTCCATCCCATAAAAATAAACACCACGGCTACCGAAACTTCAAGCCTCCAGCTTGAAGCCCTATGTTCCAAGGGGAAAGTAAAGGAATAAAAAAAATTAAAAACATCTGCATATGTGATAGTGGGGTTTAAGGAAAAACTAGAGGGGATATGGAAGTAGGCTGATGAAGCCATACTGTGTAGTCTCTGTCGGCTAGAAGATGCCTTTCGAATCCCAGAATTTCTAAAGAGATAAAACATGGTGTATGTAGGTCAGAGAGTTTTTGGCAAAATCATTTCGATGAATCAGTCAAGCGGTAACTGTCTGTGATAAGCTACCGTTTTTGGCTCTTTTTGTACACCTTATAAATTGAGTATGGATTCTAAGCCTAATGAGCAGGTGAACTTAGTCTGAAACCAACTGAAGTATACCTTGGAAAGCTCTGTCCATAGAGCAATCAGCATACACTGATGCTGACTACTTTAGAATGCATAGGGAACAAGACTTAAAACTGCTGACGAGATTATTCACTCCCCCCCCCCGCCTTTTTAAGTGAAAGACAAGGCGTTATTGATTGTTATTCACCCTAAGGATGATTGATCATCATTCTTATCATTTATAACCGAATAAACTCACCGTAGACATAGCATATGACAAGGGTTTCCATTAGTGCGACAACCAACGGTGCATAACCAGATATGACACTGTCGTAAATTGAAAATAAATAATATCCACCGCCACAGACCATTGGTAGTCCAAGCAGAAAGTCTACACAACAGACTGCGATTCTTGTAAAAAGTAAAAATGAAGTACAAATTTATTAAGATGCAAAATTAGTGAAATGATTTCTACTAAGTTGTATAATATAAACATTTAAAAATAAATTGTATTCTTATTAAGTTATGATTCTTCGCATCATCTGCCCTTCACTGAAGTGTAACGACTACGAAGTCCAATGAGGTAAGTCAGTCGTGTCAACTGAATTCATTAAGTCATTCGGCTGTTCATCCTGGGATTATTAACTGTGGAAACCAGTCGGAAAACATTCTGTATGACAACTGAGGGGTTTCCCTGATAATGATTACTCTGATTGTCTGACAACCAACCAGTCATCACCTACAAACGTTAAAGATAAGTGAGCTTGGTGAATTTGCCGTCTGACAAATTTAAATGTAACAAGGTGCCTACGTGTGTGATTAAGCTAGTGCCCAGTCAATCCAAAAAGAGCGTTAGACTGTGAGGATTTCAGTGGTTACAAGCTTGATCACTGTTTGATGTAGGTTACAGGACCACTGAAACCAGGAAATACTGGACAACGTTTTTGTCCTAGTTTGGAACTCATCATCAATACGCCTACTAACCTTGCAAGAGACCAAAGTCGTGACCAGTGGGATCGCCGATGACACTGACAGGCAGTCGCCCTATATATCGAGAATTTACGCAGAAGTTAGAATTGGTGGGTCATTAGATTCTATCCCTGTGACTGGATGGCTAACCAGGTCATCTGGCAAGCTGAAGGTGCTGGGTTCGAATCCCGGTGGGTCGCAGACGAGTACGCTTCAAACGTTCCCAAAATAGAAAAACCAGCTTTCCAATAATCTGTGGGTTTCAGTTGTTTCCTAACTGAAGTTAGTTTATGCTCAAACTTGAAAATTTATCACGGTTTCCTATTTGTAACCGGAAACATTCCTATCACAATGTATTTTATTCTCCAGGTGTCCATTCAGATTTTAAAGGGTTTGAAATGGTTCTGCTTATTCAGCTAAATCACTCTAGTGACTGTCTTCATAACTTCAAAGGAGTAGGAATAACCTCATTTCGGTGAGTGATTTCTAAGCACGCATATTTTTTCCCCTCGCGTTCCCCAGTGGAACATAGGGCTTCAAGCTGAAGACTTGAAGTTTCTGTAGCTGTGTTTATTTTACAGGATGGGGTTGCTAGCCTCATGCCCAACCTTTCCTCTTCACCAGCATTATTTCTGGCTTAGCGAGGTAAAGGAGTGCGTCGTCCGGGGCTCGAACCCCGGACCATGTGCATGGTCGGCAAGCGTCCTAACCGCTATGCCACCGATGCGCAAGCACGCATATAAACGGACAAAAAACAGATATAGTTTCTACTGATACCAACTCGGATGAACATGAGTGGAAATGATTTAATGAAACTATTATTCAAATTACTTGACAACAAAAGAAGAGAATGGAAAAATCTTGTTCGATGTAATTAAAACTTGTTGGAAAACCCTTGACAGCCGGTTGGAATCCATTAGAAAACCTAACCGTTGCATAACACCTACCCTCTCTACCAAGCCGACATTTTTAATATAAGCTGATTACCGATACGGAAAGAAAGTGTCTAGTTCACAGAAAAGAAAACAATCTACTAGAAATATAACCCTTTTATTTACCTGTAGGCAATTTTTCGTTTCGTTGTTAACACCACACCCAACCGTCTCAATTCATCCTCTGTACCAGAAAGTGTTGTCTCCAAAATTGAAAACTGTGAACCGAAGCCCAGTGTCAACATCATAATGAAAAACAGCACGGACCATAGACTTGGAAGTGGCATATTTGTCATCGCTTCAGGATAAACAACGAAGGCCAATCCGGGACCTAAAATTGAAGTGAGAAAAACAACCATTCTTATACTGCTTTGTTACTTTTTTTTTCTATTTCTTGTAACATCCCCACAAAAATTCAATAATGAATATATGGTCAATGTTTACCAGCGTAGAAATATCTGCGAAATTGCTAAAACTTTTACAATCTACTTTTCAATCAGGATGGTTGGACGCCGGCGAATACAGTTTTATCAGTGGCT